AGCCCTCAGCCCATTATCTCATTTCCCTGCCTTTTTTCTCACTCAACTCAACTAGTGGATAGAAGTTGCCCTCGGTAATTTTTGTTTAATTTCTTTTCGGGCACTCTCCTTGAGATGCACTGTCTTAGGTTGGATGGGTCTCTTTGCTTGTCGTCTTGTCCGTCACTAGTTCAGGTTGCCATGGTGAGTGGTTTCCTGCGGGGATGAAGTTGTAACTTATTTAAAGGAGATCTAGGACTGTTTGTGCATCCCCACTTCCTTGCCATACTCACCCTGCGATTGTTAAGGACCGTTTCTTCTCGGAATGCTGTAGGCCTGTTATCTTCGTGGCCTGAACTCTACCCACATTGCTGAGGACAGGTGTCGGACTTGGCTGGGAGAATGGCTACAGATTTCCTGCAGCCTGGAAGGTAAGACAGGTCTCTGTGGTTTGGGGATGATTTTGGAGTTAATTATTGAGTACTGTGATAACCCTTTCCTAACATATATGTCTAATTGAAGAAAGGCAAACTCAGAGGCCTGGGCAGATAATGAACTATGAAGTGGGGGTAGGGGGTGGGGGTGTAGTCTGAGATGGAGCTTCCCCACCTTCACACGTTGTGCGCTTTTGCTCTTAGAGCCCATCTTGTGCACCATAGGATGGTTAGCAATATCCCTGGCCCCACCACCAGACGCCAGGAGCACCCCTTCACCTCTGGTTATGACAGCCAAAAGTGTTTCCAGATGGGCCAGATGTTCTGGAGTTGGGGGCTGGAGGAAAAGGGCAGAGCTGTCCCCGTGTAGAAGCACAGGTGTACAGGCATTCAAACTTAAAGCAAACACTGTGCTACCTAAAGACAGGGTCTCCAAGGTGGGGAACTAGGCCTGTTGGCCTCTTGTTTGGAACCTTTGGCTAGGTCTCGATGTTTCCTTGGCCTTGGGACATCAGGGTAGGCCTGTTAACCTTGACTCTGGAACTCCCAAGGGGGCTCATTTCTACCAGAGAAACCCGAGGTGACAGTGGCGTTTAGTTCCCTTACGCTTTCTGAATTTGCCACTGCCATCACATGAGATTCAAGAAATAGAGAATGAGTTGATGTGAATATAAAGTGGAAGGAAAGTAAAGCAGGGGCGCCTTGGTTACGGGGCCTGTTGATGCTCTGCCCCCTGCACTTGGCTTCTTGCCTCCAGGTTCAGGGCCTGTGCGCCACAACGGGTGGAAGACAAATGGCTTCCTAGCCCAACCACTAACACTGCTGGTACTTTCAGAAGCCGAGCTGTCCCTCCTGCTGCACAGCGTGGTTCTGCTTTCCACCAACTACCTTGGGACAAGACGCTGAGTGAGCCACGGAGTGGATGGTGGCGTCCTGCGATCGCGTAGCTAAACCGTGTGGGACCAAACAGCCCTTGTCAGCAAAGGCTCTGTGCGCACTTAGATGTGTGGGAGGCGGAGGAGCAGGGGCCATGGGCTTCGCTGCGTGCCCCCCATGTGAGAACGTCAGACATTCACACACAGAACTGAAACAAACCTTTCCAGGGGTGGCCCATGTGTGGTGCCATCCTGCCTCCCCCGTAAGCAGCTGGAGCCTCTGTATTCGGCTCCTCCACGAGGTGTTCAATTTGGGTCCTAGGAAGTCAGTTTTTGCCCCAGGTGGGACTCCTCATTTGGCCTAGACCACTGCCACGCCCTGACAGTTTTGAATTTAAGACTTTCTGCCTGGCAAGAACAGCACTTGCATCCACACGTACCCTTCCACGCTGTCCTCAATCCTTTCTAGTGACCAAAACACGGGGTTTTGTGGGCCTCTCTCTCTCTCTGGCATGGGCGAACGTCTTCCTTTCCTTCTCAAATCCTTTGAACGCCTTGACTGTTTTTCCCCGGTGATTAACATGTGGGAACAGGCTGCTGGAGGAAACAGGAAGTGCTTCCCGGCCCCTCCCCCAGTACGCCCAGCCTCCACGCCCCATTGTCTTAACTTCTGGGCTCTAGCGCAGCCCCTGTGGATCTTAAACTCTGTTACCGCCACTGCTGCAGCAACCCAGCTGTGACCATTGCTGGCTGCCTTCTTGGGGCCCTTGGGCAGTCCCGCCCAGCCTAGGGAGAGCAGCAGGGGTCTGCTTGGAGCTAGTGAGCCAGGTTTAGCTTTTGTGTGTGTCCATCGGTGACATGTTAAGTTCTGTAGTATTTATTGTAAATGCATGAAGAAACCCAAGTAAAGACTGAAACCAGTGGGCGGCAATGACTTACGCGTGTGGTGATCAGTCATTTCTGCAAAGGCTCCTTTTACAAGCCTGACACACTTTAACTAAAGGGATTGGATTGGTTGAACAGGACACTTCTGGTGGGATGGAAGCCGATCTTTTTGTTGGACGTTTGGAGGTGGTAACCAGGAATGGAGAGTTTCATCCATCTTTAAAGTTAATGGAACGAGAAAAGGGACCCAAGGGTAGGAACCGCATAGACAGGGCCCAGCTCCGTCAGCAGGAGCCAGGCCTACTCATGTATGTGCGCGCAAAGCAAGCCAAGCTCTGGATGCTCCAAAGAGAATGTTCTATTTTTTCCATCACAGAATGTTGCTATTGTTAACATTAATTCCTAACTGACCTAATTAGTTTTATATACAAAACTGGCAAAGTGTTCTTTGCCTAACAGGTAACAGAATTGTGGCCTGTCAAGATAAAGAATAACACACCATTCTTTTGAATATTTCTTTAATATTACATTTAAATATTCTCTTTAAATACAGCATTATCACAATGTAAGGAACCTAAAAGGCAAAAAAAAAAAAAAAAAAAGTTTTCAAAGAACCAGACAAGCTTTGGATTCACATTGAAAACACTGTGTACAGTATGTGAGAAAGGAAAGTGGAGAATGATGAGCCGCAGTAATCAGGGTCATTTACCTAGACCTAGGCTGAGGGGGACTGAAGCACGCTCTCTGGTCAGAGGCCTGCCTTTCCTAGCAGCCATGAGCTAGAACCCCGTCCAACTCAGGTAGCACCAGAAATGAAATGGACCACGTGGTAGAAAGGCCCCTTGCTTGACAAGACGGTTTATGCTAAATGTTCATGTTTAGCATTCAGAAGTCTGGGATCAGTGTGCATCAGGAAAGCGGAGTGAAAGAGACTGAGAGCAGCAAAGCACAGTTGCTCAATTATCATGGGGGAGGGGAGTGTCGGCAAGGAGAGTAACTACAGATTCATCGTCCTGGCTTGAGCCCAGCGGCGGTTGTTAGAGCAGCTGGGATCTACTTCCTAGATGAAGCTGCAGCCTTCCTGAGAGCTCGCACTCCCCTTTCAACACCACACGCAAGAAAGATTCTTCTCCCCAAAGACCAGATTCTCGCTCCAGCTCTGCCTTAGCTCCCAGGGCACCAGTGTGAGGTGGGGAACGCAGCTCAGCTGGGGGTGTTCTCCGGCAGACCCCTAGCTCTGTTTGGTGAGGCTCAGACTTGGGGAGAGAAGGACCTAGGTGCCTAATTAAGAACTCCCCTCCAAACAAAACCAAGCAAACTCAGGAATGCACGGGAAGCGACGTGAGTCACACACAGATCTGTGCTGTGTACGAAGCCTTTCAGGCTCAGATCAGAGATCAGAGATTTTCATAGGTGAGACGCTGCTGCAACACACATGAAGGCTGCTTTAACACAGCTGGGCCCTGACAGCCACAGAAAAAGGCTTTATGAGAAGCTGAGTAGGAATAGTTCTCTCTCCCATCAGAAAAAAAAAAAAAAAAAAAAAAGGTTGCTAAACTACAGCAGAAGTAAAGCATGGTGTGTGAAGGATGCTAGCAAAAACAATGTTTTGCTCCAGAGGCCAAGATAACTGCTACTAGACGGAAATCAGTGGTGTTCAGTGGAGCAGGTCTCGGAACCTAAGCTGGGCCCCAACCCCCCGACAGAGGTGAGAAGTGGAAGTGAGTCCGTTCTGTAGACTGCAAAGGTTAGGCTCAGAACCCGAGTCCTCTGGGCCCTGGGGGTTGCACGTGGCACTTGAGGATGGATTTGGCTTTGATTTTCAGTGGAGAGGTCCATTAAACACCTGCAGTTCTGGGCACTGACCGGAATCTAAACAGCTCTAACCCTGTATATCCAAGATACAGGAAAAAAGGACCAAAACCAGTTAGTGACCTCAGATTGCCTACGTTCTACTAAATCCCAGATCTGCCAACGCTGGGGGCAGGGGGAGGGCCAGGGCGAAAAAGCAAGCATGACACAATAAAGTCAACTTCCCAGGCGGCCACCTGTGCCGGCTGCCTCCTCTGGACGTGGCCAGTGCGCCGCACAGGCCTCTCGCGGGAGGGCGAGCCCCAGCCTGCAGCTGCCTGGCAGAGCAGGGGAGACTCGGGCTCATGGTGCCACATCCCCAGCCAGTCTAGCTTTCTTCTTCAAAGGATGAAGAAAGAAAGAAAGGGGAAAAAAAAAAAAAAAGACAAATAGACAAGTTTAACTCTAGTACCTAGGAACAAATGAAAGAAACAATTCAAGTTACAGACCAGGAATCCCCAGTGTGGGGACCAGGTCGGAGAACACGGAACATGTCAAATATTAACTTATGTACCAAACAGGGAGTCGGGGAAGGTAGGTTACAGTTTTAGAAACCCTAGAGGTTTTGTACAGAAGCACACACCCTTCCGCCCCCTCCTGTCTAGATTCGGCCCCCAGACTCCTCCAATCGTGCTGCAACACGCCGAGGCGGGCTAGCGGACGGGCCCTTGCCAGCAGTGAGCTTGTGCCCTGCCTGGAGCTCCAGAGAGGAGTGGTCCCCAAGCTCGTGCTCTGGTCCCTACGTGAAGAACAGCTGCTTGCATTACCCAGCTTCTCTGGGACATCCTACTTCTTTGTTCCAGTGGCCCAGAAAGCTCAGTATTGGGCGCAGTGCAGCCTCTGCCCCAAGGCTCTAGCCCGGGTCGAGCTGGGGCTGGTCTCCTTGGTACTGCTTCTCTTTTAAAAAATATGTATACAAACAATCCTTTCCCTCCCGTCTCCCCAAAGACCCCAATAAAATAACATGGGAGCAGCAGCCGCTTCTGCAGTTTTGTTTTGAAATGACGTTCGATAAAATAAGGGAATAAATAGAGTGGGGAAGAGGCCGTCTCCATCTCCACGTCACACGGCCAGAGGGAGCTCGAGGGTGGCCTCTTCGGGGGGCCGGTCCTCACTCGGCTGAGAGGTCTCCTCCGCCCCACAGCCGCCCTCACTGTCTGAGCGGAAGGGAAGGTTCGAGGGGGACCAGGAAGGGCGGAAGTCTTCACTGCCGGGCTCCTCGGGGCTGCAGTCTTCGGGCAGGAGCGCTTCCAGGGCGGCTGTCTTCCCCATCTCGGGTCTGCAGGGGGCAGGCGGGTCTGGGGGACGAGCCGCCAGCGAGGTAAGTGGGACAGAGAAGACACTCAGATCCTTCTCCCTGGGGAAAGGCGCCGGGCCTTCTTCCGGACCAGGCTCTCCCTTCACGGCCAACACTGGCCTCTGCTCCACCTGGTAGTAGACCAGGGGCCCGCTGTTCAAGTACGATGGGTTGTTCATGTTCACCGGAGAGGCGGCAGGATGGTCTGAATTCTCAGCAAAACACAGCACGGAGGAGCCTGGGGGCAGCTGGGCCTGGATGAGGATGGGGGCTGTAAGGCCTGGGCACAGCTCTTCGGGAACCGCCAGAGGCTCCCCCAGGATGCACACGCCCAGGCTCTCGATGCTCGAGTCCAGGCTGGCGCTGGAGCCGCTGGAGTCTTCCTCCGCCTTGAGCCGCTCCAGTTCCTCCGCGCTCTGCAGGTGCATCACTGCCGTCTCGTTCTCTGCAATGAAGTCCTGGAAGCCCTGCGTCTCAGAGCCCTGGGCCCCTGTTGGGCTGCAGCTGGCAGCGGCTGAGGGCTCCCCGTCGGGGGCTGCGGGGCGGCTCACCTGCCGCTTGCTCTCCAGCTCCAGCTTCATGATGGTGTGCAGGTAATGAGTCCGGACCCGGATGGGATTAAACTCGATGCGCCCAGCCATGTTCCCACAGCCGTCCCGGGAGCAGCCACATGGAAAGGACATGCGATCCACCTGAGGGGGGCAGAAGGAGGTTAAGGCAAGACTGGGAGGCAGTAACAGCAAACACAGGCAGTGGGCATCGGAGTTCTTACAAGCAGAGAAACAACCCGTCTAGCACAAAACACGTGAGCTGACAGCACAAGACAACAGCACAGACCGCGTGTGCGTCGGCGCAGGCTCAGCCATTCATTAGTGGCGTGACCTCAGGAGAGTCCTCTCCACCCCACACCTCACCAACCAAGGGCTTATTTCCTCTTCTAAGTAAAAAGGAGACAAAAAATTGCATCAAAGGGTCCTTCCACTTAGAAAGTCCGGGGCCACCTCTCTGAGTGCTGACGGTTCGCAGAGTGGAAGAAATTTACCTGCCTCAGAGACTTTTCTGGAATGAACAGAATGTACGTGGCTCCCTGAGAACAAAGGGCCGGGCCCCAGCCTCTGCCATGACAGCATGGGGAAGTGAGGGGCGAGCTTGCCAGTCCGAAGCACTACCTCCCAGGGAACCCGGGCCAAGGTGCCTTAGTTTGCTGAGCTAAGAACAAAGGTCCCAGTGACAGCCAGCCTGTCTGCCCGCCTCACCTCCAAGGGCTGGCAGGAGAGTTCTGAAGCAGTTGCCAAAGTACTTAATTTACAGACCAGGAATGTTGGGACAGCGGATCCCACCTCCCTATCTCCCTTCCGTGTTCCAAAAAGGAAACACACGCACACACACACTGAAAAAGATTACAAATGCAGGTCATCCAATAAACATGTACAAATGCAAATGTGAATGTCTTCCTAAAACATCAACGCAGAGAAACCTCCACTCCAGTTCCACCAATTCTTGGGACCCTCCTAGCTCTGAGTATAACAGATCGCTCGTGTTACGGGATTTGAGCCTGAAAAGTATTATTTGGCCAGATCCGCAACGGCTACTCATACCCTAGCTAAAAGGAAGACAGAGCGAGGTTGTTTAGGAAATGCACCCATGGGACTCAGCATCCGCCTCCTTCAGTGTCTGAGTTCCAGGCCAACTGCACTCTTTGGGACGGCACCGCCACGCCGCCACTTTCCACGGAGCTGTGTCTTTGACACTGTCCCTTATCGAAGGCCAACAAGGAAGGCTGTGCCTCACCTTCCAGGAAACCACAGATTTCAGCTCCGCCAAGTGCAGATAAAGCCCACAGGCCCAGCTCACTGCTCAGCCGCCTTTAGCTCAAGGAACTGGTCGGTGTTCAAGGAAGTTAGTCACGTGAAACAAATTAAACCCTGCTCCTCCTCTCACTGACAGCCACTTCTTATCACCTCTGGGGTGTGTGTGAAACACAGAGCAGACACTGGGTGTCACCACAGCCTGAGAATCTTGTCGCGCTTGTTCTGTTAGCGGAGGAGGGCTGTCCAACCGGGGCCTGCTCCTAGCCACGCGGCACCCACCCCGAGTGGGCAGCCTCCCAGCCCCACCGCAGACCTGTGACCAGCTGACGCGGCCTTACCTGGCATTTGATCCCAGCCTGGCTGCAGGCACATGCTTCCGGGTCACAGTAGAGGCGACAGTCGCAGCCACACTCCTCCCGCGACAGGCGGATGGCGCGAAGTTCCTGCTTTTCCTCAGCATCAATGCGGTGGACCCCAGAGGCCCTGAGCAGGGCTCGCCGCCGCTTCGTGGGCAGAGGCTGCAGGAAGAAGTAGTCGTCCACCTCCACGTTCTCCACGTCGATGTCTTCATCTGAGACATCATCCAGCGTCAGGCCGTCCGCCTCCACCGACTCCACCGTCCCATTCTTGGTCAGCTGCCGGGAGATGGGGAAGGTAAGGCCTCCTGGGCATCAGCAACTCCGAGTCTCCCCCTAGTGGCCATCCAGGGCCACACTGGACCTACACACACAACCATGAATAGACAGACAACCTTGCAAACTGCCCTAAAAAGTACTTTCTGGGGAAAACCACATTCAGGAGGAGGACAAGATTACTAATTTATCATCAGTGACCCTGGATCTTCACAAGGCAGGCCCAGAAGGGCTTCATTTGGTTGGGAAAAGGAGAAAAAAAAATTACTAACAGTAGTCTTTCTCCTTCAGTTGAAGTAAAGTGAGGTAGAGTGATATTAATAATACTGGAGGTGGGGGCTGCACCATGGCGTAGCGGGTAAAGCCGCTGCCTGTAGTGCTGGCATCCTATATGGGCACCGGTTCAAGTCCTGGCTGCTCCACTTCCGATCCAGTTCTCTGCTATGGCCTGGGAAAGCAGTAGAAGATGGCCTAAGTGCTTGGGTCCCTGCACCCACATGGGAGACCTGGAAGAAGCTCCTGGCTCCAGATTGGCACAGCTCCAGCTGTTGTGGTTATTTGGGGAGTGAGCCAGCAGATGGAAGATCAACCCCTCCCTCCCTCCCTCTCCCTCTCTCTCTCTCTCTCTCTGCCTTTAAAATAATAATAATACTGGGGTACCAAGGCAGGAATTGGGAGTGCTCCAGGCTGAGATAGCGAGAGAGCTGGGAGGAGGAATCTCAGTGGAAGGCCCCACTGAAGCCAAGCTATGGCTGAATACATTCTGGAAACTCATCAGGGAATTCAAGTAAAGAAAATGAGGCCTTAAATCCCTCAGGCTCTGGAAGCTGCTAGCAGGATGAAAGCCAAGGGGCTGGGGCCTCGGGCTTATTTCATCAGCCAACCCCACCCCCACCCCCCACGAATGCTGGTAAAGGACCAGCTCCTGAGAGAGATGTGATGCAAGATACCTGGGTAACAAGCCTGGCTGCTTTGTTTGTTTACTTGTTTTGTGCTAGTGGAGAGAAGGACAGAAGAGGAGCTTCTGGGGTTTCCCTAGTCTAGAATTTGTATACAAGCAGGCCGGCTTGCTCCAGTCTTGGATACCAGGGCTGCCGTCCTCATCACCCTCCTCCCTACTGTCCTCTCGCTCAAAGCAAAGAGATCAGAGATGCCACAGTTAGCAACCCACGCAGACACGAAGGGACTTCAAAACCTTCAGTTTATTTTGGTCCAAAAAAAGGTCTGAAATCCACACACAAGTGTTTCTTATCATATGCACAAAGACCCCTCATATGCATGGATTTCAAAAATCATTTACACCAAAATACACATTTTTAAGAAAAAAAATTTTTTCTAAGTTTGAGAGACAGCGAGAGCTTCCATGCATTGGTCTGCTCCCTGAATACCAACAGCCCCAGTGGTATACAAGCCAGGAGCTGGAACTCAATCCAGGTCTCCCAAGTGGGTGACAGGAACTCAATTATTTGCACAATCAACATTGCCTCGCAGGAAGCTGGAATCAGGATCTGGGATCTGGGATCTGGAGCTGGGGATCAAACCCAGGTCCTCCGATATGGGATACAGACTTCCTGACAAGTGTCTTCACCACGAGGCCAAACGCCCACCCATCAGCTGGTCTTTTAATTCCATTTTCCCACAAACCTTGTGAAGTAGCCGCATATGACAGCTTAACATAGGATGGCAGTGGCATTTCAGATCAGTAAGGAAAAAGTCATCTAATCACTGGGACAACTGGGTACTCTTTGGGAAAAAAGTTACATTCTCAATCAGTACCATTTGTGATCATGAATTCCATATGAATAAAAAAATAATCATAAAAGTAGAAAATCAGGGCCAGCGCTGTGGCGCAGTGGGTTAATGCTCTGGCCCAAAGCACTGGCATCCTCTGTGGGCACCGGTTCTAATCCCAGCTGCTCCACTTCCGATCCAGCTCTCTGCTATGGCCTGGGAAAGCAGTAGAAGATGGCCCAAGTCCTTGGGCCCCTGCACCCATATGGGAGACCCAGAAGAAGCTCCTGGCTCCTGGCTTCAGATCTGTGCAATTCCGGCCATTGTGGCCAATTGGGGAGTGAACCAGAGGATGGAAGACCTCTCTCTCTCTCTCTCTCTCTCTCTCTCTCTCTCTCTCCCTCCCTCCCTCCCTCCCTCCCTCTCTCTCTCTGCCTCTCCTCTCCCTGTGTAACTCTGACTTTCAAATAAATAAATCAGTCTATGGGGAAAGTTAAACAGGGTTTCCTTTCGACAAATAAAGCTGTTAGAAACCACCATTGCTGGTGCTCACTGGACATCCTGCTAGGAACTAGAAACCTTGACCTCAATCTTGGGCCGGCCTGGCTTTATTGCTAGGATGACTTCTGGCGGCGGGGCTGAGGAGGATGGGGTTGGGGGACAGAAATTCGACGGCACTCTGTTTTAACAGATTATTCCTCCGCAAAATCTAAAAGAAAGGAGTCTTCTAAGAAAAAAGGATGAAGGGCTTCCCTGCGACCCAAGAGGCCATTGTTTATTTGCCCAGCTGTTGCTATGGCAGCAGGACAGCAATAGGTCAGTGGCAGAATTCCTCGGAAGAAAAAGGAAGCCCAAATGTGAGTCCAGTTTTAAAAACAGGTGGAGGCTTTGGGAGGAGGCTGAGCGGAGCCAAGCCAGAGCTCTCGGGGAGCGAGGAATGAGACCTGGGCAGTCTACACCCCCTGCCACGAGCTGTCCAACCCCACCAACATTCTGGCGCGTCTCCCTGACAACCCTGCAGGAAATGCAGCCACCTATTTTAATATGGGTCAGCACACTCTGGGCCCAAAAGAAACCTGGCTGGGCTTGAGGCTGTGTTCTTCAAATTTGGAACCAGGAACTTGGGGCGGGGGCGGGCGCTATTTGCGAGGACTGGTGCAAATCACGGCTGTGCTTGGCAAACCGTGCTGTAGACAACGGGTGGCTACAGCCACCTGAGACGGCTCTTCTCTCAGCACCTTTCTCTGAAACGTGAAGTTCTGGTGCTGCAGAGATGGCCGGCACAGTGCCACACCACAAGAACTCTTTGGTAAGACGTCGTTTGCCCCAGAGATAATCACCTAGGGATGACATTTCAAAGAATGTGAAGGGGCCAGTGCTGCGGCTTAGTGGGTAAAGCTGAAGCCTGCAGTACCGGCATCCCATATGGGTGCCAGTTCGAGTCCCAGCTGCTCCACTTCCGATCCAGCTCTCTGCTATAGCCTGGGAAAGCAGTAAAAGATGGCTCAAGTCCTTGGGCCCCTGCAGCTACATGGGAGACTCAGAAGACGTTCCTGGCTCCTGGCTTTGGATTGGCCCAGCTCCGGCCGTTGCAACCAACTGGGGAGTGAACCAGCAGATGGAAGACATCTCTGGGTATGTGTGTGTGTGTGTGTGTGTGTGTGTGTGTAACTCTGACTTTCAAATAAATAAATAAACCTTTAAAAAAAAAAAGTGTGAAAGGTTCAAAAATCTAGTCTACGTATCTGGTCAAGGACAATCATTTGACAAGAAATGGAAAACTGTGCTCCCTTGGGTCCTAGAAGTGGCAGACATGGATGCCTTCACATAATGATGTATTAAACTTAAATTAAAAAAAAAAAAAAAAAAAAAAACACAATCATTCGGTGTGTTGGAAGCAAAGAGAGAATTCCAAGGAAGCCATCTTGCTCTCTCTGGTAGACAGCTCCACCAGAGAAGGAAATCTTACTACTCGGATTTGAGTCCACATCGGAGACTTCTCATTACACAGATTTAGAATCTCTGTAGGCCGAGGGCAGCAGTCACAGCAAAGCTCAATAGACCTTGGAACTGGGTATTCAGCCTAGGAGTTAGGACGCTCACCTCCCACAGTGGAGGGCCTGGGTTCAATTCCCGGCTCTGGCTCCTGACTCCAGCTTCCGGCTAATGCAGACCCTGGGAAGCAGCAACGCTGGCTCAGCGACTGGATTCCTGCCACCCCCATGCGAGGCCCAGACTGAGCTCCTAGCTTCGGCCCCTGCCCAGCCCTGGCCACTGTAGGCATTTGGGGAATGAGCTAGCAGATGGGAGCTCTTTCTTCCTGCCTCCTTCTCTGTCTCTCTCCCTCTCAATTAAAGGAAGACCAACCAACCAACCAACCAACCATCAGTGGACCTACATGGCTTCCCGCTTCCGCTTAGCCCAGGGGCAGAACCAGATCCCGCACCCCTTAGGTACCTTCATTTTCTTGGCATGGAGTTTCTCCTCCTTCAGGTGCTCACGCAGAATCTCGCGATGGTTCACCTCCTGCTCCTGCGCAAACTCACAGAGCGTGTAGCTACGTACAGAGTTATGGCGCTGGGCCATGCCCAGGGAGCTCCCGCCCTGGCTGGGCACACTGGTGAAACCCTGGCGCCGGGCGAAGTAGTACACAGTCACCTGGTCAAAGCGGACATTCTTCCTCCGCAGCTGCTTCTGCCGCTTCAGGATGGAGGTGGCTGAGAAGGGAACACAGACAGGTGCTGTTAACCAGCCTGGCCTGCCGCGGGCCTCTCCACCCCATCTCCATCTCGGCTCCCAGCTCCTCTTCAAATGTTCTCCGTGGATCTAGAGGACTTCCTAATACTTCTGCATCATAAACGCACAGTTGGAAGAGATCTAGAACCTCAGCTGGTTCCTACCCCTGCCTCCCAGCTGACTTCTGAACAGATGACCACAAAATCTATTTTTAGACATCAGAAAGGAAGAGAATCTCTAGGTAAGCTGTTCGGAATTTAACAATCCACAAAACAGGAGCTACTAGCCATATGAGGCAAGTTTAAGCTCATTAAAACTAAAATTAATTTAATTTAAAATTAAAAATTCAACTCCTCAGTTACATTAACCATATTTCAGATGCTCCAAAGCCACATGTGGTTAACGGCTACTAGTGGGCAATAGCAGACACAGAACATTTCTATCATAACAGAAAATGCTACAAGGGAGAACCTGATGGCTAGCAGAGGAGGCTAGAGTTTTTCTGTTAAAGGTCAGACAGTGTATTTAGGATGTACAGGCCATGAGGTCTCTGCTGCAGCTTCTCAGCTCTGCTGCTGCAGCATGAGAACAATCTTAAGACACAGGTAGGACTGTGTCCCAATAAAACTTTATTCATAAAAATATTCATAAAATATTTATTCATAAAAATATTCATAAAAACAGGCCAGATTCGGCCTATGGGTGATCCCAATCTAGAGTTATCAGAGGTTCTTTCCAAGAACTAACCGAGCCAAAAGAATGAAGGAATCTGGAGTCGCCCTGGTTGTCCAGGCAGGAAACATTTATGTCCTGCTGGGGGTGGAGCCACAGTTTCCTGGGACTCTAAGGACCTGGATGGGGCGATGGCAGAATCTTGGGCTCTTCCTTCTTCAGTCTAATTCAACCCACTCTGGGGATGCACAAACCACAACGCAAGTCGAATCAGCCCATCAGATGTCAGCCTCCACTACTAGAGCCATGAAGCCCCCCCAAAGGCAAATCGCAAGCTGTCGGACAGAAGCTCTCCCAAGAGCGGCACCGGGGAGCTCCTGCCTGGGGAGAGTGGGTGCCACCCCCCACTCACGTGTGAAGCTGGCAGTCGTCGGAGGGTTGAGGCTGTCACAGCTGTCCGCGCTGTCGCTGCTGGAGATCTCATCATCTGAGTTGGACACGGATGAGCCCACATCCACATCATCAAACTTCCTCTTGAGACCCGAGCCCGTGAAAGCATCCATTGGTTTCGAAGGGGTTTCCTTGGGGAGCCCACCACGTTGGCTCCAAAGCCCCAGCTCACCGCCAGCTAGCCAGGAGCATTAGGATTCTGCCCAGGGGAAAACAGGAGTCAGGATCTCTGTCTGCAGACACACCCCTCCCAAGTCTACAAACGCAGCGCTCTCTAACTGCAGAACACAGCACCTGACCCAGCGCTGAGGTCTCACTCCTCAACTTTAGGTCATTCCAGCCAGCATCCTCCTCCTCCTTCCCCTCTGCCCCTCTGGTCTCAATCACTCTTAAAATAATGGGACAAGTAGTAGCAGCAGCAGCACCCTTCCCCATGGAGGGAGGGCCTTGGTCCCAACCAGCTGGGCTCTGGGCTGCCCCAGCCCAGGGAGAAGAATAGATGCCCTTCGGATCACACACGAGTGCTCTCCATGGGACCAGTGGGAGGGACGAGGGATCACAGGCAGAAACAGGCTTTGCCCAAACCGAGACTAGACCCAATTATTTTTCCTAGTGAGAATATAGCCTGGCGTGTCCCAAAGTGTGTACCTTAAATACGCTGCATCCAAGGATATTAATAGCTTTCACATGGGAATCGGGCTGCTGTGTCAAAACAGCTTAGAAAACTGCGCACGACGGAATCTCCTAGAGCTTCTAATACACTAGCGAGCACCGTGAAGGCTTGGAGAAAACACAGAATGCAGTATTTTATAGATCTCATTATGGAACCCACTGTTCCAAAATATTTTAGGGGGGCAGATAATCCTTGGAACATTCTTTGGGAAATGCTGTTACGGGCTCTCAAATCTGAAGAACACTGGCAGTCAGGAAAAACCCTTTACCCACATCTTCCCCAGGGTAAAGTGGCTCACCGGGTTCCTAAAAAGGTCACACGTGGCTCTGAAGAACGGACCCAAGATTAGGATGCGTACTGGCTTCAAAACCCAGACTCTTGCCCAGTGTTCTGGTACTGCGTTAACAGAGTTCCCCCCAGTCAACCCCCATCCTGTATGCGAAGGAGCTGCGCCGTTCCTGTCTTTGCCCTCTGTCAGGAAACCATCCAGGGGACCGTAAACAGCCAAAGAGTGACAACTGACTCTGGGTAGGTGAGTACGGCAGGCAGGGGTGTCCCCTCGCTGCCAAGCGAGCGAGGACGCCAAGGGTCCACTGCACGGGGACGCAGCGTTCTCGCTCTCTGCCTTTGGAAGGAGGTCCCAGGCAGGACGTGCATCTGCTCGGTAGAAATGCTTTCAGAGCCGCAGCCACGTGTGATGAGGTATGGGGCCTCCGCTAATGCCAGAATCTCCCCAGACTATGATCTCACAGGTTGCTAATTATGCAGCAGGAATAACACACTACCCAGAGCGACGACAGGGCCGCACCATGGCAGGGCAGCTCCCCAGAATACACTGTGGTGTCGCGAGATGCCTGCCACAGAGCTGTTTTTTTCTGGATGCTGTCTCCTGGCTCAGCTCTGCAAAGCCAACCAGTTCCTAATCTGTCTGTCCAGAGCTCATCACAATTCTGCATGAAGAGCCTATAAGGAACCCAAGAAGCCTCAGCCATGGTAGGTCTCAGACAAGCACATTCCTGAAATAAATTTGGCCAGGGAGGGGAAAAAAAAATAACCAAGCGCTTGATAAGAATTGTAATTAAATTTGAAAATGAGCTCCAAGTATCACTTCTGTTTTTTATGTGACTGATCTCATCGTCAGAGGTCACTTCTTTGGGTATGGTTAAGAATGAAGAAAGCCAAGGTCTGTTTATGGGTTCAGATTTTAACCGGATTTAAAAATACCTATGAATTACCCAATCTCTCACTCCATTCTATTATGGGGGCTGGGGACCTTGTAATTGGGTGGGATTTAAAAAGAGACGGACCAATGGTGATCACTTAAATGTACTTTCTCTTCTCCAGTTAATAAATACCTCATCAACCACATGAGCACTCAGACTTCACTAAAAATCTGCTTTCTTAGAAAGGGCTTCCATTTTTGTTTTGTTGTTTTTATCTGAGAGGCGGTGAGACCCAGAGCATCACACACACACATACACAGCTCCCCTCTGCTGGTTCACTTCCTGAATGCCTGCAATGAACTGGTCTGAGGTGAGCAGAAAACTCAATCCCGCCCCCACCCCCACGTGGGTGGCAGAACCCCAATCGCTTGAGCCATCACCCCTGCCTCCCAGGGTGCACCCTAGAAGGAAGCTGGAGTCAGGAGCCAGACCCGGGCACTGAACCCAGATACCCCAACTGGGAAGACCAGGCCAAACCAAACACCCCACTCCCCGCCCAGTGCCACTTCAGGCAGTGCTGCTTCTAAAAATGGTTCCCTCCTCCTCCTGGAAGCACTCAGGGATTTAGGGTGCAAGCACATGGGCCCGCCTGCTCTTTGCCCACCTGACTCCTTGCTTCCCGTAGTGCGTCTATCTTCTGAAGGTTTCTTTTTAAGCCCCCCAAGAGCTTGGGTCTGCTCCAAAGTCATCTTTGTTGCTAAAATTCTCCCCTGTCTTAACCCACTTGCCCTCAAGACTATCTGGGACAGAAAGGAGTGCTAAGATGTGAAACCTACAAGAAAAATATGTTCCTTCAGCTGTGGGAGAAGAATCAGATCTATGGTTATGTGTAAGTCATGTGCAAACTGACCTATGATCTAACTATTCCATTAACTTGGAGGGCTCTCAGGAAAACCCTCACGGAGACTCCACAGCCCTGGCTCTCTTTACCCTACCCAGGATCCATTAGCATCGCTTTTGCTGACATCAACTCCATAATTTTTCTAAAATCCATTTTTCTGTCCTGACAATCAGTCTGTTTAAATTTCAACCCAGATCTCCCCTGTTCAACACCCTGGTGTGAAATGGACTTGTTTAAGATGTCCACTGGGCACCAAGAACAAAGTTGCTATCTATTTCCATTGAGCAACAGTAATAACTAGAATAGGTTCCATACTTAATTCATCAAATTTATGCCCTTTCCAACCACAACTAGAAATCAAGTCACGCTCACCTCCCTCAACTATTCAATACCGTGTTGAAGAGATGCATTTAGGAGTCACGTGCCAAGCTCTTAAACCCACAGAGAAATATTCAAGGTGAGACTGGAAACGCAGGTCATAACTGACAGTTAACTGTCAAAATGACCAACTTGAACAATAAAACGCTTTTGGGATGAAATAACGCAAGCCTTGATAAAAGCTTTTAAATGCCAGTGAAAATGAAAGGCCAGCTGACACTGTCTGGCTATGTGCCTTATGATCTTTTCTCGAGTGTTTCTACGCTGAACATTTCCCAGAGGTACATGAAATAGTTCAGATCCACAGCATGTAGCAGATAGGAGGCGAGCCCCAAATGACACACAAACATCTTATCTATACTGTAGCACTCAGGGTTTCAGACCGTAAGGCTTCCTGTAACCCTCGCAACAAACAAAAGAACCCAGTATATGTAACACTAGCAAGAGAAACATCCCAGGAAGAAAAATTTCTGGAGGCAGAACATATCTGCAAAGTTTAGGTTACATAAACCTCTTTCTTCAAATGACCCCAAAATAATAAGACAAGGTCCCTCTCACCAGGAAAGTCTCCCCCTCTCCTCGTCAACTGGAACCCAACCTTCTGCTAAAGGTCAAAAGACCAGAATGTCTAGCAAGATCTCCCGGGCTACCCTCTATTGGCTGCTCCTACCAAAAACCCTGAACACAAGGGCCTGTCCTGTTTCTAGGGTTGATTCTCAAATTCTGTGAATTTTGTGGATCCATGGGTTCTTGGGATCACCAGAGGATCATGAATTCATCAAGCACCCAAGTAAGAATCCCCCGTTTAAGCCAGGTACCTAGAGAAAGCCCCCTCCCCACCTCTACCCATTGTATCTGTCCACTACACCCAAGGTTAGAATTTGGCTTTCTGTGTCTAAATGGCTGTCACGTGGAGGACACAGATCTTTGTGGGAGAACTGGGACATGATGCTGCATTAACTCTCAAGGATAAGGATACACATACACACACACACACACACACGCCAACATCCTGCTTTGGGAGATTAGCAAGATGGAAACAAGTATAGAAAAGAAAAATCCGAATCAACTTGGATTTACCTTGCACTGAAAACTGGAGAAGGGGGACAGTGTTTTTTTTTCTCCCTCTCTGGGGGATAACTTCTACCCTCTCGTGCTGTGTGTGTCATACTAAGCCCCTTGAAAAAGGAAGACCCAAGACCACAGCACTAAAGGCGATGGCTGGCAGTCGGCTGCGTGTTTGGGCCTATGAAAAAAAACAGATCAAGCCAGCAACCAGGGCAAGTGATGCTTTCATTTTCCCACACAACGCCAGAAAAAAATTTTAAAAATGGGAGACACCAGGGACCCGGGGGGCTGAAGGGACATGACAAGTCACCAGCTCCCTTCAACGAAGCCCCCTGCGGAACCCCATTTCTCCCTGCTCTTTACAGTCGTCTGCAGCCTTTCCCCATCCCTTCCTGCCTGCTACTCACAAATTCCCAACCACTCCTCCCACATTTTCCTCTATCCCCCCCCCGCCCCTTCCTTCTCTTCCCCCCATCCTACATCATCCTCCACTCCATTCCGCAATCCTGCCGGCTTGCAGGCCGCCCATCGGTCTCCCCCCGAGCTACCCCGGCAGCCGGGGCCCAGGTCCTCTGTGCCCCTCGCTCGCTCCCACGCCTCTCCCTTCCCGGCGGCGCTCTGGCTCTCCGCCCCACGACCGCTCCCGTCCAAGCCTCCCTCATTCGGACCCCTCCGTCCGCGCGGCTCTGGGCTTGACCACTCCTCCACAGCCGCCCGAGAAAGGACGAGGCGGCACCCTCCGCCCCGCACCCCCAGGCCCATTACCGGCCCCGCCGCAGCTGCCTCCTCCCGCGATGGTCGCTGCCGCCCCCGCCGCCGCCGCCCTAGCCCGAGTGCGAAGGACGAAGGAGCGAGCGAGTCCCGGGCGACGGTCTGGGAGCTCCCAGAGCAGCAGGGCGGGGAGGGAAGGCGAGTGGGCAGGCCGGCCGGCAGGCGGCGGGGGGCGGGCGGCTCCGGCAACGCGGGCGCCCCTGGCAGCAGAAGCCCAGAACCGCCCCGGCTCCGGCTAACAATAGGCTCCGGCCGCAGCGCTCCGACTCTTATAGGCGCCGGCACGTCCCGGCCGCGCCCCGGGGCAGGCTGGGAAATGGAGTCTCGCGCGGCCCGCCCCTGCCCCCCGCGCCCAGGAGCATGCTGGGAGCGGCGGGCGGCGACGGCCGCGAAGCCGGAGCCCGGGCCCGGCGCAGCCGGTTTCCGCGCCGGCGTCTTCCCTGCGGCAGCGGACCCTGGGAAGGCGAAGCGCACGACGGAAGCCTCTCGGCCGTAGATAGTCAAGGGCGAATTCTCCTCTGCAGCTCCCCCTTCGCAGGCGCCAGGCTCCCGTGGCCTGGGAACGCAGTAATACCTCTTAACTCGCGCCCACGGTTAGGAGAAAATAAAAGCAGTCTCTTGAATGATCTGCGTATATCGTGCACTTGGGTGTTTTCAGAAACTCTTTCTTACCAGAATTTTTTTTAAGTTTATTTATTGAAAGGCAGAGCTACTGAGAGAGAGACAGAGAGAGGTCTTCCATCGCTGGTTCACTCCCCAGTTGGCCACAATGGCCAGAGCTGCGCAGATGCAAAGCCAGGAGCCAGGAACGTCTTCTGGGTCTCCCACGCAGGTGCAGGGGCCCAAGGACTTGGGCCATCTTCCACTGTTTTCCCAGGCCACAGCAGAGAGCTGGATAGGAAGAGGAGCAGCGGGGACTAGAACCCCGCTGGGATGCCAGCACGGCAGGCCCCAGCCCCCCTTCCCAGGATCTTTGATCTCCACCACGTTGCAACCCATTTTTAAGATGGTGAGGCGAAGACTGAGAAAAGTTCTGTATGATTTGCTGAGGGCACACAGCCTTGCCTTCCTATCTTGTCTCTGTGGACCTGCAAGGCTCTGGGAGACAGATGTGACTAGGTGTGGCCCTCCTCCCCAGGCTGCCCGTCACCTGTGTCCTTCTCCCCTCCCATCTCTGCCTAGGAGAGGAGGGCCTCTGCCCTTTCTCCAGCGAGCTATATCCTTATTCCCTTAATACGTGTTTGCATGGCCACACGTCGTCCGTGCAAGTTAATATTTCTCCTTAATCTCTCCTTGCCTTAGATTTATTGTAAAGGTTTATTTATTTGAAAGACAGAGTTACAGAGAAGCAGAGGAAGGGAGGGAGGGAAGGAGGGAGGGAGAGAAGGAGAGAGAGAAGAGAGAGAGAAAGATCTTTCATCGCTGGTTCACTTCCCAAATGGCCACAATGGCCGGAGCTGCGCTGATCCAAAGCCAGGAGCCAGGAGCTTCTTCTGGGTCTCTCATGCAGGTGCAGGGGTCTAAGGACTTGGGCCATCCTCCACTGTTTTCCTAGGCCATAGCAGAGAGCGGGATCAGAAGAGCAGCAGCCGGGACCAGAACTGGCACCCATATGGGATGCTGGCACTTCAGGCCAGGGCTTTAACCCGCTGTGCCACAGCACCAGCCCCAGGAGGGATTTGAGCCATCCTCATCACTGCTGCCTGCCAGGGTCTGCATTAGCTGGAAGCTAGAATCAAACCCACACACTCTGAAAAGGAACAATGGTGTCTTAATTGCTAGGCTAAACACCCACTTCATGTGGAAGGATTTAAACTCAAGCTAGGCTGGTCCCCAATCCTAGTACATTTTCCACTGCAGTCAAGAATCTGCGAAGCTAAATCTACTGGCTACCAAGCCAGCTCAGCTTTAGAATTGAGAGGTCAGATGGCTTGCCAAAAATGTCAAGAATTTGTTTTTTCCCTAGGTGTCAGAGACTCCAAGAGTCCATTGCAAAATGAAAATCAGATTACAAAAAAGCAATCCTTAATGTACCATGCACAGGGCTGGTGTTGTGGCAGGTAAAGCCACTGCCGGAGACGCCAGCATCCCATCTGGATGCCGGTTTGAGACTGCTCCACATCCAATCTGGCTCCGCTCATGAGGTCTGGGAAGGCAGCAGAAGTCGTCCCAAGACCTTGGATTCCTGCACCCATGTGGGGGACTCCGATGGAATTTTGGGCTCCTGGTTTGGCCTGACCCAGCCTGGCTATTGTAGACATTTGGCAGTGAACCAGCAAATGGAAGACAGCTCTGTCTTTTTTCATTCTGCCTTTCAAGTAAATAGGGAGGGTAGCAGGGGGAGGGGTGGAGAAGTTAACAAATAATAAAGAATATGGGTGGAGACGCCAGCGCTGTGGCACAATAGGCTAAGCCTTTGCCTGCAACACCTGCATCCCATATGGATGCCAGTTCAAGTCCCAGCTGCTCCTCTTCCAAGCCAGTTCTCTGCCATGGCCTGAGAAAGCAGAAGATGGCCCAAGTGCTTGGGCCCCTGCACCCTGGACCCAGAGAAAGCTCTTGGCTCCTGGTTTCAGATCGGCCCAGCTCTCTGTCTCTCCCTCTCGCTGTCTGTAACTTTTCCTCTCAAATAAATTAAAGGGAGAGGGGAGAGAGAGAGAGAGAGAGAGAGAGAGAGAGAGAGAGAACATGGGTGGGGCCTGTGCTGTGGCATAGCAGGTAAAACCACTGCCTGTGGTTCCGGCATCCCATATGGGCACTGATTTGAGACCCAGCTGCTCTACTTCTGATCCAGCTGATGTGCCTGGGAAAGCAGTGGAAAGATGGCCTAAGTACCCAGAAGAAGCTCCTGCCTTCTGGCTCCAGATTGGCCAGGGTTGCCATTTGGGGAGTGAACTAGTGGATGGAAAAATCTTACTGTCTCTCTGTAACTTGCCTTTCAAATAAATAATTTTTAAAGATTTATTTATTTGAGAGGTAGAGTTACAGATACTGAGAGGGAGAGACAAAGAGAAAGGTCTACTGTCCACAATTGGCCACAATGGCCGGAGCTGTGCCAATCTGAAGTGGTCTCCCACACAGGTGCAGGGGCCCAAGGACCTGAGCCATCTTCTGCTGCTTTCCCAGGCCATAGCACAGAGCTGGATGGGAAGAGGAGCAGCTGAGACTAGAACCGGTGCCCATATGGGATGCCGGTGCCGCAGGCAGAGGACTAACCTATTGCGCCACAGCGCCAGCCCCTCAAATAAATAAATCTTTAAAAACAAGAAGAAGAAGAAGACATGAGTCCTGAATATAAACCCCAGTTCCTCCACTCATTGGTAATACGACCCTGGGCAACGTACTGTATTCCCAAATGCCCAAGCTCTGTGGGTTAACGCCACCAGACTAGAAGATAGCCAAACCACAGCACATCCTCTAAGATAACAGAATCAGTTTTAAAAGATCACCTGACCTCTGGCTAACATCACAACCACGTATCATAGTCACTATTCACCGTATTTCATTGTCACTGTCATGATTTAATCCCTAGGGAGATTATTACCATGGTCCCAGTTTATCCATAACAACTACAATTCTATTCCAGCCTAAGCTGGGCCTATGGGAAGGAAACAGCAGGGGGCAGCAGTGTAGGAAGCTAAAGTGAAGCAGAATAGAAACTACAAAGAGGGCGGCACCGTGGCGCAGTGGGTTAATCCTCTGCCTGCAGCACCGATATCGCATATGGGAACTGGGATCTAGTTCTAGTCCTGGCTGCTCCACTTCCGATCCAGCTCTCTGCTATGGCCTGGGAAAGCAGTAGAAGATGGCCCAAGCCCTTGAGCCCCTGCACTCGTGTGGGAGACCCAGAAGAAGCTCCTGGCTTCAGATTGGCACAGCTCCGGCCATTGTGGCCAATTGCGGACGGAAGACCTTTCTCTTTGTATCTCCCTCTCACTATCTGTAACTCTGTCTCTCAAATAAATAAAATCTTAAAAAAAAAAAAAAAAAAAAAGAAAGAGATACACTCATGTTATTATATTAAGGGTAACACTGCATGTCCAGTTGTGAATGTTACTACTTTGCTTCAGAAACACTGCAAGATGTTTAGACGAGAGCTCAGAATGCACAAGCTGCAAGCAGGTGGTTTGTTTTAGGGGCAAAGATGTCAGTGGGCAAGAAGAAGAGATACAAGGCCAGAAAGAAGCAGTTAAAACAGCAGCCACAGAGGAAAACAGAGGCCTGATCTCACGCTGTGGGCAGCGTTCCTATGCTGGCCGTGCAGCTCTGTCTGCATGTGGACATGACCTTGTCGTCACTGGCATCCCTAACTTTACTGGTCGACTGAGTATGTATTCAGTACCAAATAAGACTGTGTTTTAGACTCCATATCCCTTTACAAGTCTGCAAAATTCCTCTGAAGTATTATTTCATCTTTAAGATGATAAAGCTGAAGCTTGAAGGGATTATTGAGACCAAGGTCAAATCCCAGAAAGAGCAAGATATGAGATTTGAACACAGGCTTATCTGACACCAAAGTATACACTATATCAACTGCACAGCACCACCACAAGATAAACAAGGATACACTCTCCAGAGAAGAAAAAAATAAATAGGAGGAGAGAATACTGTGTGCTGGACTTAGAGAGTTAAGATCAAAATCTTAGACACACTGTATTCCGAAAAGAAGCCTGCAGATTGAGCCCTGAAGTGGTATCTCACTAATTTGCATTTAATTATACTCCATATCGAGAGGAAAACAGACAGCTCCTTGTGACCAATTTCACACTAACAGAAAGCGATCAGGGTGTGTAAAATTGGGGGAAAACACAGTGTCACGGCAATCAGAAAGCAGAAACTGCCTAGGGGTTAAGATGGCCAAGTCCCCTATCACAGTGCCTGGGTTCCATGCTCGGCTCTAATTTCTGTTACAGTGCATCCTGGGAGGCAGCACTAAGAGCTCACATGCCTGGGCTCCTGCCTCCCATCTGAGTTCCCAGTTTGGGTTTAACCCAGTCCCGGCCCTCACAGGCCTTTGGGGAGTGAACTGGCAGATGGGAATGCTCACTCTCCCTGTTCCTCTCTCTACCGCTCCCAATTGCATTTAATGTTCATTTTTTAAGTTTCTATTTATTTTCATTTTATTTGAAAGGCAGAAAAAGAGATACAGAAACAGACAGAGGGAGATCTTCCATTTACTGATTCATTCCCCCAAAAGCCTGCAACAGCAAGGGAATGGGCCAGGCCAATGGCAAGAGCCCGGAACTCCATTCAGAGCCCTCACGTGGGTGGCAGAGATTCAAGTACTTGAGCATCACTG